GCAAGTCCAGAGGACAGCCTGGATCACAAATTAGTAACAGCAAGATAATGACTGTCCCAATTCTTGAGTAGCCATAATTGTTTTTGTATTATTAAGCTGTGTTGTACAAACATTGTGCATCCTTCCATCAAGAAGCTGCGCTAATCTGACCTGACAGTCCTGGATGCAACAAGCTCAGCCTGAGGATGAGAACTAGCCTCCTGCTTCTATTTCCTTGAAATGTCTCAGAATAGTGCCCCAGACTGCACTTCAGGAAGAGATGGACAGAATTAGCCACATGCCCTCTGCCCTGAAGTGCAGGACAGGGCATGGGTGGCTGAGCAAAGCCACAGGAGGAATCTGTTGAAGCAGCAGGATGGGCAAAACCTCTATCTCTGCAGCCATTTGGTAATGATTACAAGAGAAATGAGGCAGGGGCTGCCCCTGGTGAGCTGTCACTGCACGGAGAAGGCTTAAGTGCAGATCAGCAGCTTGTCTGGTGAGCCAAAAGCAGCTCAGTGTTAGTTCTCCAGGTTTGGGTGGCCAAAGGCTATTTTCTAATCAGTTTCTTCCTAGTCTGTAAGATACTCCCTTAGTGCTTCTTTCCAGCAATGACACCGTGCGCTCTCCACCATTAATGGGGGCCCTGCTCCCACAGCACCAGTTCAGACCCTCCTGGATTAAACATGTCCCACTGCAGTCCTGGGAATGTGACCCTGTGATTCCAAGGTCTGGGCTGTGGTTTGACATTTTAAATATTGTTTCGGTTACTTTATTAATAATTGACTAAGAGGCTGAATAAACAGCCTTGTCACGGAGCCCAGAGTGTGACTCAGGCAGCCCCTTTGAGCAACAGGGCCTGCTGCCAGGAGCTGAACACGTCAGGGAGCCTCTGGACTACATCTCCATTAACTTGCTAACTGGACCTGCACTGCCAACTCCCCACTGCCGGGACGGGTTGTCATCAGTTCTGAAAAACTGGTTGCTGGTGAAGGGTCCCAGACTGACATCTCTGGTGATCTATAGCAAGGATGGGCAAACTACGGCCTGCGGGCCGAATCCGGCCCATCAGACCTTTTAATCTGGCCCTCGAGCTCCCGCTACGGAGTGGGATCAGAGGCTTGTCCCACTCCGCGCATACCATGGCTCCGCACAGGTCCCGGAACCAGCAGCATGTCCCACCTCCAGCTTCGCACGCTGCCCCTGCCCCAAGTGCCAGCTCTACAGCTCCTCTTGGCCAGGAACTGCAGCCAATGGGAGCTGCAGGGGCGGCACCTGTGGACGGGGCAGTGCACAGAGCCACCTGGCCGGCGCTGCACCTCCACATAGGAGCCGGAGGGGGGACATGACGCTGCTTCCAGCAGCCGCTTGAGGTAAGTGCCACCTGGAGCCTGCACCCCTGCCCTCCTCCCACCCCCCAAACCCCTGCCCCAGCCCTGATCCCCCTCCTGCCCTCCAAACACCTCGGTCCCAGCCTGGAGCACCCTCCTGCACCCCAAACCCCTCAGCCCCAGCCCGGAACCCCCTCCCCCGCACTCCAACCTCCTGCCCCAACCCAGAGCCCCCTCCCACACCCTGAATCACTCATTTCTGGCCCCATCCTGGAACCTGCACCCCCAGCACACAGCCCATACCCCCTCCCACACCCCAACCCCTTGCCTCAGCCCAGAGCCCACTCCCGAACTCCGAACCCCTCTGCTCCACCCCCTAGTCCCCTGCCCCCTCCTGCACCCCAAACCCCTCATCCCTGGCTCCACCCCAGAGCCCCACCTCCAGCCGGAGCCCTCAACCCCTCCCACATCCCAACCCCCTGCCCCAGCCCGGAGCCCCCTTGCGCACCCTAAACTCCTCATTTCTGGCCCCACTCCAGAGTCCGCACCCCCAGCTGGAGCCCTCACCCCCTCCCGCACTCCAACCGCCAATTTCGTGAGCATTTATGGCCTGTCATACAATTTCCATACCCAGATGTGGCCCTCAGGCCAAAAAGTTTGCCCACTCCTGGTCTAGAGCCTCCATTCTCAGAACAAGTTTAGCCTGGGCAGCAGCAGGGTGAGCTTTCCCCCACCAGCAGCTGCCAATGTGCTTCAGCCCAGCCCTAAAGAGACCTTTCCCCCTTTTAGGGGTCAAAAGGGAATCCCGTTTCCATGCTACATTCAGTCCTGGGCCTCTCCACTGAAATTGCCAACAGCAAGCTAATTCGTGCCAACTATGCAGGTGGGTGTAGTGATGTTTGTCTGGACTGAGGCCATCTCCCTTTGAACTGAGTACTAGCCTTCCCTCCATTCATAGACTGGTTCTGCAACTGCTGTAGTCCCCCTCCTGGAACCTACAGACACAGAGAATCCAAACAGTGTCACATTGGGTTTCATGGGTCTTCAGAGATCAGCTCTGAATCTACTCAACATAGTTCCAAGATATCAACTGATGGAATTCAAAGCTGAGTGGCAGGCACTGAGCATGCCCAGGGCACATGGTTGCTGGGTGGGAGAGTGGCAAGCAGAGGACTATTTGCAGGGGAAGGAAATCACCAGCCTGGAATAAGACAAGTCAATGCCCTCCAAGTTGGACTTGAGATGATCACAGAACACAGGAACTAGACAAATGTAGCAGGCCATCAGCAACCGAACTCCAACAGCAGTCACTGGCACAAGCTTCAGAGGAAGGCTTTCAAACCACACAAAGATCACAGGGCCAGGCAGTTAGAAATTACAATGGATAGATAATTACCTCAATGGTGGGGGAGGAGATTCCTTCCACAGCCTAGGCACACATTCCAGTCAGCCATCCTGCCAGATGAGAACCTCCTGAAATCCCACCTACCACTTCTGTTAGATATGGAATTTTTCACTTTGTACCCTACACTGTTATGTAGAGTTGTTGTGCCCTGCCTCTGAGCTGGCTGGATTTCAGTGATGCCTATTCATGCAGTTTGTAAAATACACTGGGATCCCTTGGGATAAAAGCTCTACAGAAACACTGGAGATTATATCAGCACACAACACATAGCAGAGGACATCCTTGGTTTGGGCCCATCACTCCGTGGTTCTTGCTGGTTCTGATCTAACCACTCCGCTAAGCACTGTGGCCTTTGTCTGAGGTGAATGAGAGTGTCATTTAAATCTTCAATTCCTGGTGTTTAGAAATACCTGCCTGCTCCGCCTTAGCAAATATCTGAGCTTCTGTCACTGAAGCATTAAATGGTACAAACCTGCACTCCTCCAACCCAACCACAGCATTACTGAGAACAGGGTGGTGATCAGGGACGACTGTAATGCTGGGAATTTTGGACCCTGGAAACAGGATCAGGAATCTGGCAAACCACTACACTATGGGCAAGAATTTAAGGGTATGTCTACACTACAATAAAATAGCCGCGGCTGGCCCACGTCAGCTGACTCGGGTTTGTGGAGTTCAGGCTATGGGGCTATAGAACTGTAGTGCAGATGTTTGGGCTTGGGGTGTACCCTGGGCTCTGGGACCCTCCTCCCTAGCAAGGTCTCAGAGAACAGGCTCCAGCCTGAGCCTGAACATCTATACTGAAATTTTATAGCCTCGCAGCCTGAGCCCACATCAGCTGACCCAGGCCAAATGCGGCTGTGCTGTGGATCTTTTATCACAGTGTAGACCAATGGTGCTCAAACTTTTGTACTGGTGACCCCTTTCACACAGCAAGCCTCTGAGTGCGACCCCCCCCCCCATAAATTAAAAACACTTTTTAATATATTTAACACCATTATAAATGCTGGACGCAAAGCGGGTTTGGGGTGGAGGCTGACAGCTTGCAACCCCCCATGTAACAACCTCACAATCCACTCAGTGGTCCCGACCCCCAGTTTGAGAACCCCTGGTGTAGACATACCCTCAGAGACACTTTGGCCAGAATTATTCCACTCATCCTGAGCAGCCAAGGCTCTCTAGACACAAAGTAGCCTGGAAAAAGCCATTGTTTTAGGGACACACAACAATAGTGAGAATCTCCAAAAAGCTGGAGTGGCATCACTGAAGAGGAGAAAGGAGCCAGACTCCAGCCAAATGTCCCAAACAACCCAGAGAAGGAGATAATACCAGTGCAACTTTCATTTCACCAAGGGATCTGATATTCTTCGGGCCTGGGATTCTTTCCTCCCCCCCGCGCCCGATTTCTCTTCACATGTAAGAACACAAAAACACAAACCAGGGTGCAGAGCTACTGGAGGGGTGCATGGATAATGCAAGCTGAAGAAGTGGGAGAATCAAGCTGTGGGGGACTGGGGAGGGTTTCTAGCAGCAGGAGAGCTGGGCAAGCTGGAAATGGTTCCAGAGCAAAATCCTGACCTGCATCCCCACTCCCAGCACCTTCCAAAAACTCCAATCACAGAGATCTCAGCTGTAACTGGCAAAGGGTGTTTGCAGTGCTCCAAGAGTTAATATATTTAAAAGGATGTTTGTGAAACAGGGAGGGAATCAGGAATGTTAGCGCTGCAGCCTAATTATCACTGAAGTATCAACAATATTAACCCTTTCCCATCTGCTCCCGGCAGCAGACACATCCAGTAAAGGCTGCCCCCACAGTCCAGCTACAGTAAAGGGTGTTGCATAGGAACATGGCCACAAGCTTTGACTTTGCAAACTGTATGGTCCCCCACCAGTTAATGTGCCAATTGCTCAGACAGATGTTAGTTACTGCCCTGAAGAACCAGGGGGAAGTGGCAATTCTGGTGTGATCAGCTAGAAGGTGCTGCAGCATGCCTTGGGTCATGGTGGGGCTCCAATGAATGCACCTCAGCCGAAGTGACCAGTCCTCACTCTAATAAGTTCAGAGACAGTGAGATCTGGGAATGAATCTGAGTCAAACCGAGAACAATGGAAAATAAGAACTGCCACAGACATCCCAAAGGTTTGAGACTCCCATCTCCCAAGATGTCAGCTGTCCCTGTTGTCTGCCACTGGTGGTTGGCACAGGGCAGGCCCCTTTCCACAAGCCCACATCTGATCCCACTGCAGAGGCAACACTCGAAGGAGTGGGAAGAGTGGGTCATTACCTGCTACTTCCACGATCTGGTGCCTAGCAATATCGTAGTATGGATCATCCCAGCGCAGGTGAGTGATGGGCTCAGGGGAGCGGTTGGTGTCCTCTGCACACAAAAAAAACAGAAAACCAGCAATTAGCAGGAAAGCAGAAACGGACCTTGAGCAGCTCAGGGAGGGGCCTGGAAACACAGGGATGGGAACCAGAGGCTCAGTGACATGGGAAGAAGTTAATGCCCTAGCCTGGCTTTCCTGAACACCTGTTTTGAAATCTTGATTTGGTCACAGGACAAGCAAGTGTTGTCAAGTCTCAGCCTTGTCTCTGGAAGGCAGCTGTGCGTGTCCCAAACCCCACAGCTCAGAACAGTGTCCAGTCAGTCAGCTTCTGCTCAGGACTCTCCTGAGCATGAAAATTCACCCAACATGTATGAGAGGAAAGGAGTCAAGGGCACTGTCAGGGCTGCTCACAGCACAGGTGCTTCTGCACATACCCTCCTGCCTACCCTGCATGCTTTGGCCGACTCACCTGTTCTCTCTGGGCATCAGAGCCCGCAAGGGCTCAGCCAGGTACTGCACTGTGGGCTTCGGGCACAAAATGATTCACACATCTCCATTTCCCAATCCTCGCATCCCAGATAGGACTGAGTTAGAGTGTGAGAGGGTCACAGTTCCCTGCAACAGGCCAAGGCACAAGGTGTCCTGGAATACCTCTTGGCCTCAAAACCAGCCCTGCACCCAAATGTCTGCTGGCCCCAGCATGGATGCCCACCTGACTTGGGAAAAACAGGCACTTCATCTGCTGGCCAGTTCTTATCATCTAAGGAAGCCAGTTTGAGCTGGCTCAGGGACTGGTTGGTGTCCTCCAGGTTAAGGTCATCCTGCAACTCCGAGAGTGGGTCCATGGCAATGGCCCCCAAACTCAGCTGCTTGCCTGAAGAGCCTAAAAGGAAAACTACAGAGATTCTTAAGTCAGACACATACAGATCACACAACCCCACTCCCACAGCCTATCCAGAGGCTCTTCCCTTGCTTCCCCTTCCCTCCCCACTCGGCCCATCCACTGACTTCCTACCCCTTCTCCTGACTTCCCCAACGACTGCTCACACTTTACCCTACCCAGAAACTTTCTCTCCCCCAAATCCCACCCACAGACCTCTTCTACTTGCAGCCATGGGCACCCTGAACAGCAGACGCTTCCCTTCTACCTCCTGTTCGGGGGGGGGGGGAAAGTCCTAGCTAACCCTTCCAGGGAGTCTCTACCCTGAGTCCAGCTGTGGCCTGACTGTTCTCCCCGCCCAGAGTACTCAATTTGGGATAGACACTGAGATACAAGGGAAGGTGACAGGCTATACCAGTCCCTCCCTGACACACTGACTGTACCAGCCATTATTTCCACACAACAACGCTCCTCCCTGCGCCAGTGGAGCTGGCATTGGGCCCAGCTGCTTGCACAGCAGGGCCCTGCTCTGGAAGCTTTCCCAGATTTCATGTCCCCCAGCTATAAGGGAGGGTCAGGGGGCTCTTAACAGCTATCTGCACTGGCATATATGGGTGCTTCAGTGCATTAGAAACAAAATCCTGTTGGGGGCAGCTTGATTTCACTGACTGGACTAAAATGCAAGGAGAACGCCAACGCCCCTCCCCCCACACAACCATTCTCCGTTTAGCATCACACACAGCAAAACCCTTCTCTCCCATCCCAACACGTAGGGCAAGAGGCTAGGATACACCTCATGTTATTTCCATAGCACAATAACCAGATGCAGGCAGCACTGCATAGGCTGTGCCACAATACTGAGGAGGCTAGGGAGTTTGGAGATTCCAGGGCACGAGAATCAATTGCTGGCGTTGAGACTTTTTCCTCAATCTCACCTGGGGTAAAACGTGTGCGCTACCCCAAAACTGAACTAAAGCAGCAGATCTTCAGAAGGTTCCCATTTCTTAAGGGAACCCTCTAAGAAACAGACGACTGAGTTTAATGCTGATGCCCTGGTGATATGCAGGAAGCTGATGGATGGGACCGAGGTACAGATCCTGCTCTCAGGAACTAATATTAGCAGCACCATGAAGATGAGAATTCTGCGGCCAGCAGGCTGCATCCCAAAGGGAGCTATAACAAAACAAGACCAACGATGACATCACTGTTAAGACCATGGGTGGGGGCTGAGGTGGCTTTGTAGTGCTGCAGCCAGTGAGGCACCTGCCATTCACAGGGATGCACACATCCTGGGGGTGGTTCAGAGGGGAACTCAGGCATGTGCAGGCTGTAGAAGGACGGGTTCTGGGATGGGAAAGAGTCTTGTTTGTGTGTGAATGCCCAGAATGCAGTGGCTGGGAACTAAACAGCAGCAGAACACATGACCTTGCTTGAAAACTAACAAAGGAAGCTGTAGTTATAGACCCAAGGTGGCTTTTTCCTGGAGTGCAGGAAGGTGGAGTAGCTTGATGTTTTGAATTCCGAGTTCCTACAGCTGCTTGTGAGATCCAAGGGTGCAAGAAGCCTACGAACAGTTAGTGTGACCAGGATGACATTCCAAACTCTAGAGAGTCTTGCTCATATACTTGGGGGTACACCCATTGCCAGGTTTGGGGTGGGGATTTTGCCAGGGCATTAGTTAGAACCTTGAGAGTTTGTCCCCTCCCTTTGGTAGGGGGTGTTGGGAGCACTGACCCTTCCTTATCTCTTCCCCAGGAACTCAGAGATAGTCTTTAACTCGTCCTTGGCTCCCTGATGTCTGGGAGCTATTGCAAGTCAAGTCAGATTCCCATAATCAGAGAGAGACAGACATATATGGGCAGAGGATCTTCGAGGCAAATCAGAAACTATGCAGGGCCTGACAGATCTGCAGTCAGCTAGAGAGCCAAGCAAAACTGTTCCCTGCCCGCCTCCTGAGAGCTGGAAGAGCTGCCTGACCTTCCCTTGGATCTCAGTAGGGACATGGAGCAGGACAGTACACTCCTCTGGACCATGACCTAATGCTGGAACTATGCAGCAGCTGTAGTCAAATGACAACCAGCTCCCCACACCTAGCAACAACAGATTCAGTTTCTATAGCAACTGCAGCCAGCATTTGCAGTGATTTAGTCTGATTATAGAATCCCTAGCACCAGTATAATTTCCCCAATAATCCAGCAGACATTCAGGTGTGAAGTCTGATAACCCTGGAGGTTGCATGGAAACTGTCCTCAGCTGGTCCCATCTCAGACCCTAGATCCCTGCAAGCTGCTGTCTTAACTCACAGCAACTTCAATAGGAATGGAGGGAATTCAGGTTCAGTCTTAACTGCTGCCACCCCCTAGATCAGTGGGGCACCTTTGACAGGAGTCCTCTACATCTTAGGGACTAAGTCCAAATTCTACCAGGCAGAGGTGGTGCTGGCCCAGGGGCAGCATGGAGCTGGGTTCCCTTAGTCCTCACCATAGGGAGTGCCACAGCCTGGCTTCAGGAACAGCTTGCAGCACGGAGCCACAGGTCCAAGTTATTGGTTTAAAAGCCAACATCAAGTGGATTCCACATTAGCAGGCTCCTCTCACTGGTGGGGTCTCCAGTGCTGGCACCACATGGCATAGAGTGCAGCAGTCTCTAGGTTCCTTATAGTTCTGCAGTAAAAGAGGGCCTCAGTGCCCTGCGTGACGGCTGATGTTCCCACCCAAGAAGAGCCCTCCCCAGCGTTCGCTTCAGAGGTTGAACTTCCCAGCCCTTACACATGCAGACAGCTCCCCAAGTCCAGAGAGTGGGTTCAGGCTCCACGTGACAGAGAAACCCATGCCATGGAGATTCAAGGGGTAGCAGACTGAGCTTGCATCATCTCTTTGTGAGTTAGTCCCTCTTCCCCCTGAGAATTTCTAAGATGCTTTTCAGGATCCCTTCCAATACTGAGGTATCCAGCGCGGAGTGCAGTACCCCAAGGGAGGTCTTCCCAAAGCAGTGCGCCCCACCCCACCCCTCTCCTTACTTTGGAATGGGAGGGCTCTGGGATTGAGGAGCCTAGAACTTAATGCAAGATCCCCATGGGTTCTCCCCAAGGAATAACCCCTCTCTGTTCCTCTGAAGTCTCTGCGAACATAGCCTCTTACTGACACTGGCTTTTTTGCAGCACTATCACATCACAAACTTGTCTCATTTGCTGCCTTCTCCACCAGGTTCTCAGCTATTTTTGCTCCCCAGGCTTCCCCCTCCAACTGAGTCTGGGGTTTGGTCATTTTTCTCCCAGCTGCATTATTTATTTCAATATAATACTCTACACCAAAGAATGCTCATCTACAACACCAACTGCTTTTGACATATATTTAAATACATTAAAGAAGAAATACATCAAGCAAAGAAGCAATTCTCCTTCCTCAACCACATCTCATGTTCGTCAGCAACTGCCAGACCCAATATGGATAAAAATTCTAGGGCCCTTTGAATTATTTCTCTGTCCTTGCTCTGCAACTCCTGCCAGTTTAATCTCTGCTGCACACATAATTATTTTGCCTTACAAGTCAGAGAAGGTCCCTAACCCATTACTGTGGGCAAAGATGTTAGCAATTTTTATACAAATATACACAGAATTTTTTTTTACCCAGTTCAGCGTCAACATCACCTTCACAGCCCATTCAACACACCAGGACTTATAACTCACCACTGAACTAGCCCAGTCTCTCAGAAAGAGCCTGAAAAAACAGATATGCCTTGAAACCAGCCAACTCAGGCACTGCAAGAATGAGTTCCAGAGTCCATGAGGCCCAACCCCCAGTGACAATATCCTGCCCAACCCCCACCTCGAAGTTTGGGAGCGGTTAGCTCTAACGTCTCAGCTGACTACACCTGCAGAGGTATCACCCTGAGAGAGAGATGCCAACCAAGCAAAGACCCTCTAACCTAGCAGAGACCCAGGAAGGAAGCAGAAAAGCTGAACTCAGGTGTATCCCCCAGAGTCCCAGCACAAGCTGCACAGGCTGCTTATCTGTTTCCCTCCGGACCCACCCACCACACAAGTTTTGCTGAATTTCTGAGGAACTGGAGTCATGTGACAGCCACAAACCCAGTTCCTTCTGGCCTACCCCCTTGTAGCTCAGCCTCCTCTGCAAACTTGGATACCTTGAGCCAAACTAAAGATTCAGACAGCAAGATTCAAAAAGGGAATGGACATTTATATGAAAAACAAGAATATCAGGAATTCTAACTGTTAATGCTAACAAAAAGTTGGAAAGGATATTAAACCTCATGTGTCACAGCTTAAGAAAAATCTAACCATTAGAGTTCAGGATGAGATCTAATGGGGCGGGGGGGCAGGTGGATATTGTACCACATCTTCCTACTGCAGAGTTCTTACACTTGCATCTGAAGCATTTGGTACTAGCCATTATTGGAGACAGAATATTGGACTAGATGGACCTTGGGTCTGCTTCAGTATGACAATGTTTATGTTCCAAATTCAGCACTACAGAAGGCAGTGTATCTTCACCGATTTCAACAGAGCAGCCTGAGCTTACACCAGGGTTTGATCCCGTATTCAAATCCCATATATGTATGAACAACAATATAAAGTGACCTCCTGGGCACCTGATCCAGAAGAGACATTTCCCTCGCAGGGTCCCTTAATCTCCTGTTGTCTCCCCAGTACCCTAGTCTATCTTGTGTCCCAAATGTTAATTGTGAATGTGGATCTTTGACAAATATTTTGGGGAAAACTGAAGCATATTACAGTTCCTGATCTTTGCTTCTCTCCCACACAGAAACAGTCTTCTCCTTACAGAGCTCCAACACATCCTTAAACCTGAACTCTCCTACCCAGCCCATCTGACTCCCCCTCCATCAAACTGAGGTTCTAGAACTTCTTCTGCCCTCTAGGCTCACTGGTCTGCACTCACTAGCACTCACCGGCCTGCCAAGCCTCATACAGTTCTCCCTGAGCAGAAAGGAATAAAATCAACCCAGGCTCCTAAACCAAGCCCCTTCCAAGACACAGGCACCCCGCACCCTCCACCCACCAATCTACCCATCGACAGCCGCATCATCATCATCATCACCATCACCACCACCTCGGCAGAGCATCCTGGCTCTGATAAATAGTGGATTTTGGTCTATCACTGCCCAAGCCTCAGGAAACTCTCCTGAATCCAAAAGTTCATAAATGATCCATTAAAAGGCCTTCAATTCCCTTTAGCACTGTAAACCTGGGCATTAGCCAGCCTTGGGGCCCTGAGCATTGTAAGTGCTGATTGCCTTATCTGAACAAGTTCTGCTCCTATTCTGTATGCGCTCTCCACCCTGTTCCAATACAAACCTATTGGGCTAGCCTCTAACCCTGCTCTTCCCTACCCTATTTGCAGCTTTCCTCAAGTGGGAGGGGGTGTTCTAGGAAGGTCACCTAGACACTTAAACTTTGAAAGTGCAAAGGAAGCCAGGGAAAGGCACAATGTCTGAGTAGCCAAAGGGACGATAGAAAAAGCATTTTCTGGTCTCCTCCCTCTAAAAAAGCGGTGGCCAGTGAGTATTCTGAGTACACCCCATCCAAAGGGTACAAAGAGTGGTTTCTGCCTGGGGCTGACCACTTACAGCCAAACCCGCCTAACTTTTTTTTTTTAATATAACAACGACATTCTGAGACTATAAATGCAAACTAGGAGATCTCCATTTGCAGCGTGAACAACTTTTTGTCTGGGAATCTCCTTATTTTTAAAAAGAAAACTAAAAGGTCTAAGGCCTCGCTCCCGCCCGGAATGGTGGACCTGGGTGCAGCCCCAGCGCATAGTAGACAGCTCCGCAGCTGGACACCCGGCCTGCCAAGCCCCACACACGGCCCAGTTCTCCCCGAGCAGAAAGGAATAAAACCAACCCGGACTCCTACGCCAAGCCCCTTCCAAGACACAGGCACCCCCCAATCTACCTATGGACAGCCCCGCGCCGCTCCCCCGCGCCGGCAGCTTTGCGGACGTCAGCTCCCTGACCCCGCGTCTCCCCGCGCGGGGAGCGAGAACCGCGATCCCCTCAGCCCCCGGCCCGACACCACGGCACTGCCCGCTGACAGCGCGGTCCCGGGCCAAGCCACGGGGAGACCCCCGGAGTCCGGGCGGCCAGTGCCCCGCTCCAACCGCCAGGCCGCGCTCCCCGCCCGGACCCGAACCCCGCAGGCCGGCGCCGCCCCCCCAATACCTCCCGCAACACCGACCCCCACCCGACATCGCGACCGCCGCTTCCGCCCCCTCACCAGTCGGCCGCTCCCGGAGGTTCCCGCCTGTCAAACCTGCTCATAAACATCCGCCTCCGAACCGGAAGAGGAATCCTCTCTCCATGGAAACGGCGGCCCGCCCCCATTCTCCACTTCCGGTCCCCGACGCCTTCTGGGTTCCGAGAGAAAGTGGTCCGGACGCGGCCGTTGGCTCCGCGGATGGTTCTGCCCCAAAGTGGGCCGCCAGGAGAGGGGACCGTGTTCTCGGTTCGGGCCGCTCCCGCCCGGAACTGGGCCGGCGCGCGCCTCTGCGGTGCAGCCGCAGGCTCCGGTCCCGGGCCGGCATGGAGCGGAGCCACCTCGGTGAGTGGCACGGCCGGCGCTGGCCGGGAAAGCGGGGGCTGCCCTGGGGCCTGCGCCTCCCATGTAACGCCGCCGCTCCCTTGTCTCCCGCAGGCCGTGAGCAGCGCCCCGTCCGCGGCCACCCGGGGCGGATCCGAGACCCGCCCGCGCAGCCTGGCGCGTCCTGCGGAGCCCTGCGGAGCCTCCCTCCCGGACTGGCCCTGGGGCCCTCCCTCGCCCAGGAACCGGGCATGGGCGTCTGGTGCGTGGGGAGAGCCCTGTCGCCGGGAGCGCTCTTCGGGCCCCGGGCGGAGGGGAAGCTGGACTGTGCGGCAGAGACAGCGCCCTCGGAGGTACGGTAGGGCTGGGGGGCCTGACAGGCAAAACCCAGCGCAGCTCCAGTAGCACCCAGCTGAGTGGGGCGGGCAGGACTCCCTGTCCACCACAGAGGCTTATCATGAAAGAAAGGGAAGGGGGAAAGACTAAGGTCTCAGCCCAGGTGCACAGCCTGGCGCTGCCCTGCTAAAGAACCCAGATGTCCAGCTGTGAACCGTCTGCTGAAGCTCTTTGTTCTCTACTGCCCAGTGCCTGGCTCCCATGTGCAGCATTTGCCTCGGCATTTCCAGTGTGGCAGGGGAAGTCTGCAAGCACCCAACACTAGGTGTCAGGCCTCGCTTTTATTCAGGTCCTTATTGTCTGCCCATCACTATGGGATCTGAGTGCCTGAGTCGCTACAGAGACTGGTTACAGGAAGTGCCAGGAGCATCAGCCAACTCCCAATTAGGGGGCAGCCACTGGGCTTGTAGGCCTATTCTGAATTCATTTTGCTTTTCAGGCAATTCAGTCCGGCTGCTGTTGCAGTGATGAATCCATTTGTGTGAGGAGCCCTAGCTGGAGGAGGTTAGTAGCTGTATATGGAACAACATGGGAGTTCCCTTTGGGACATACTGTAAGTGTAAAGAGAGGATCTGTAGCCACTGTAACACTGTGGGGTGGTCTCACTAGGCAGTGTCAGGCTTGGCCAATACACGGATGGCAGACTTCCAAAAAATAGCCCAGGTGCTTCAGAATATGGTGTTGGTAACTCATCATGGGGTATTTTTCAGTTGTCAGTTCTGTGCCCTAGTTGAATGTTGCATTGCTGGAAGGTGCCGTCTTCCATGTTCTGCCCCACAGTTGGCTGCATTTCAGGGGTGGGTGAAATGCTCCCTGGCTGTATAAGGGCTTCTTTGGGATGAAAGATGCTGTGTAAATGTGATCTCACTCTTTCCTCATGTATGTAAGGGGAACGATGGATTCTTGGCTGTCTGTGTGGAGAGAGTTTGTTTCTGTAGCAGGGCCTCCCAGTGACCCATCTGGAAAGCTAAAGTGACATAGACACCTGGTGAAGAGTGTTTTAAGGAGTCGTAGAGAGCTTTATTCTGGAGCTAGTTTGTAGCTACACGCAGCCCAAGAATTCAGAACATGTTCTTATCAAGACATCAGGGGCCTCTTGTGGGCAGTTAAAGGGCTTATTTCCTAGGGGGACTCTTCTCAGTTAACTAAAGTTTGATCCTTCAGAGCTTGGCACTCCCATTGAAGGCAATAGGATCTCCATGTGCCCCAAGTGGGTGCTGACATTGAGCTTGGTGTCTTGCAGCTTGGTGAAGCGAGGCCGGGGGGAGGATGAGGCAAACGTGGCTTTGGTGTGGATCAGTGGAAGGCTCCACATCCGAGTGCGGCATCCTATCGCTGCAGGCACTGAGTTGCTGTACTGGCCTACAGAGGCCCAAGCTGGTCCTGCCCAAGTGGAGGGGAGAATGCTGCAGAGCGTATCGGAGGGGATAGCTGTTCCTGATGAGAAGAAGCCAAAGGG